CGTACCCAAAATGCATTGCACATATGTTCAGAAACATGCACATTGCCGCAACATTTTTGAAATTTTGAATTGAACTGATTTTGAAATTGGGACACGCATATTAGTAATACGGCAATACGTACAGAATAAAAACAATCAATCATAAAACGGAACTGAAATGTAACTGTAAAATAATTTACAGTTCTGAAAATTACTTTACGCCATTTACGCCGCCGCTTTAAATAATACTTGTAAGCTTCCGTGCCATAATTCAGCATTGTCTTCTATGGCGCCACCATGAGCATACAAACCACTGTATAACAACACCGTAGCACCTGTAGGATGTGAAACGTTACTACTACGAGTATTGTATACTATATATTGATGTTATCATGAATATGTAAATAACTGGGTATGAACAATAAATAAGTATATAAATATATATGCTGTAAAAGTCGAAACAAGTAACAAACAGACTGGTATTAATAAAAGGAACCAAATCGACAGCGATCGTCTAACCTCGCATTTACCTATCCATTACCAAAATTATTTCAAATTCCTACTCTATTATCAAAGCTAAAACGCGTGCCATATATAACTACCATCAGACTACTTATAAATACCCCATCCATCAATAAAGAGTGCAGTATTGTCGTAACCGGGAAATTACACTGTATCATTCACAATCTAATCTGTGAAATGATATAGTAATAGTATTGATTACGAGTTATGAATGTGACAATAGTATCCAGGTCATTTTATTAGCATGTCTTTGTGTGTACGCGACGTGCCTTCGCTGATTTTCGACTCGTGCTTTCAATCACTTGGCCAGTGTAGAATGTGTAAATTTATATTTTAACTTGTAGAACAAATTATTCAGTTGGCTCAGCAATGCGCTTGGACCTCCCATATGTGAAGTAATTATTGCATTGATTCCAAATCTAAGTATAAATTAACTCGGATTATGTGGTTTCTTCAGTTTCAAGTTTGATTGCATATATCATTGAAAGAAACATCAAGTATGTATGAACGCGACCAGCAACCTGTATAATATACAGATTAGACATACACATGGAGTGCATTAAAATGTTAAAACGCACACTCGGGTCATCTGTTTGTGAATGTATTGTCTTCACCCACTTTAAGAAGATTTCTGACTATTTTTGATTCTCTAAATGAATGCAACACATAGTATAGTGATTGGAAAAGTATTACGTGAAATTAATAACATTCAGATAAGCAGTAATAACATTAATAATAGAAGCATGCTAGTTTGAAGTAGGTTTAGAGAAGTCAAGAGATTTGGGGTTCTTAGAAACATTATCAACATTATAGTTCTACAATGCCTGAACACACGGGAGCAAGGATTGGGATAAAGAACAAGCCTTAAAATAACAAGAAATAGATAAATTTATAAAATTGCAGCAAAGTGTTGCAAGTGATGTCCGAGTCGTTCTTCGTCGAGAAATTTGTAATGCGTGATAAGAATACATATATCTGAGGCATTTTAATCTTAAAGCGGGGAAGTTACCTGCGCATGCGTCAGATGGGCCACAGCGTGTCATTGCATTGACGCTGCAGGTCGGCGTCTTCTACACCGATCTCAGGGTTCTGACGCATATCCCGCAAGGTGTGCCGGGAGTTTGTTCGAAATTTCGAACGTTTCGAAGTCAATCGTCGGCTAACACGTATTTTAAGGATATATTAAATCGTTTCAGAGACCTGTTTACTAAATAATGATAAATGAAACTTAAAAATTTTGTAAGAACAAACTGGACCCAAATTGTGCAAATTTACGAGTTCCACTTGATTTTATCGCGTTCAATGACGTTCTATTTTCGAACTCGTTGAAACCGGAAATTACGCAAGTACTTTCGAACTTCAAACACAAATTTAATTATCGTTATCATGTGTTAGTTTCTGTTATTTACAAGCTTGAAATATTTATGACATTAATATTTCACCCACTAACAATATTTCACTACAATACGCGATTAAAAAGCAACTTAAATATTATTGGAAAAAGAAGTATAAAGTTCTGTGTATAAACACTGGTGTAAAGAGGCGGCGGAGCGCTATTTTAGCCAAAATCGGCTAGTAATATGACACAGGTTTGTGCTGGGACAGCGCTTCCAGTGACGACACAACGACAGGTCTGTGCTGGAACAGCGCTTCCTTTGACGATACAACGCATTCTCCTTCCCAGAGTTCCTTGCCGTTAGATCACCGAAAGTATCTCTGCCACTTCGCTGGTTCCCGGCGTCCTTTGCGAATGGTAGGTAGTTACTAGTTACCGGCCTCTTGTGGCTTGGTACGCCATGACACTTGAGGCGGGAACCAGCCAACTCTGCCACCACATACCGCCATTTTGTGGTGAAACACCACAAGACTTTTACTACGCGTATCATTTGTGTATTTTTGTTATTAGAGGAATCTTGTGTTGATTTATTCCTACTGATAAACAAGTTTTAAAATATTTCATTTCATTGATAGCTGATTGTCGGGGATGGGTTCGAATGATCATTTATTTCCATTCAATATTGCTTTAGTTACATTTATTGCGTGTTACGCGACTCTTCGCTTACGAGTACATTAATATTTCGTGCGTCCGTGTTGACGCCTGAGCGTTGTTACATTGTT